TCTTTCGCTTGTGTAGCTGCTTCTGCCGCTTTTATTATATTATTAGCTTCTAAAGTAATCAGTCCCTCATTAGGCACATATTTTGCAGAGGGTAAAATAACAATTCACCTAGAAAGTGATTTATAGCGGCTTCATGTTGTCCTATTTTCACCAAATAGTCGCCATAGTTCTCTCCAAGTAAGACTACTTGTTCAGGAGAGCAGAATCTTGCTAGCTGAAAGTGCTAGCTTAAAGCTAAAACAAAGATTGATGAACTTGCGCTATTCACCTGTATCGCTTTGCTAAAATCTTTTCCATTTTTATAGCATTCCAAGGCTTTTTCGTAATCCTTTATATGCTCGTATACTTCTCCAGCCTGATAATATTAACAAAATCAAAAGATAGATTTTTGCTGCCTCTAACTATGGTCATTTAGGAACTCTGGTGTTCATTCTGGCATCTACCGAAAAATAGATTTTTGATTAAACCGCCAAATCTCTACGCACACTTGTTTGTCGAATTTTCTCTGCACAAAAATCATTTAGGCAAACTTTATATAACTGTTGCAACTCGGTAGGCCCTACCTCTTTGTCTAGTTGTCGGCGCTGTAAGCAACAGTTCCCATTTCAACCCATTTCAATAAACTTCGATGATTGCAGGTTAGCTACGGCCCACAATGGCGCCACCCAAGAAAACAAAATGTAAAATTACATTCACAATAACAACAATATCAACAATAATCTATCAAATAAAGGAGGATTTATCACGAGGAGAATAAAGTTACTCGGGCTACCAACGGGGACGCTTACTCACTCACACTATCTTCCTTGGCACAATCTTGCACCCGCCCGACTGTGAGAGGCAGACCCAGCTGTCCGCACCAGCAAGGCAGTACTAGATGGCGCTTCTGGCACCAACTCCGCAATGTTACCCACCTAAAACTCATCCCAGCTTGATGTGTCCTATGCGTTCATGCGTGGTCCTGATATGCCCTTCTTTGTGCGTTCATCAAGCCAACAGATTGTCAAACCGTCATACACTTACGCAAGGTGCGGGGACACAGACACTATGCCGATATCAGATGACCTACCCAATCGGTGACAAGAGCGATATAAACGAAAGCACATCAAAAGAAGCTGGACGGGCGTGTTATTGCCGAGGCGGGGCGTGCCTGCGTTGTGGTCTGGCACCGAATATGGTTGCGAACGGTAGAACGTTGCATCCGTGCCTCTGACCGAACAGCGCGGCATCGCGGCGCTCCCATACAAACTTTAGGGGAGTGGTCTATCGACAGATACACAAACTGTCAACATATTAGGTCATTCCGGAAGTAATGTCGCTTTTTACAAATGAACGCCACATTTCGTAAAACGAAGATTTCTGAGA